TCTCGACATTCGTCTCTGAGATGCTTCAAGGTGCATGCCCGAATCGGAAACACGTACTGCTTCAAGGGCTCGCACAGATTACGCTTGACGGTCTTGATCATCCATACTTCCGTAATTGGTAACCGCACAGCAGCCCTCAGTCTTCGCATCGCATGGAAGATCGAATCCAGAGACACTCCTGGCATTTGCCTTCGCTCGCTCAGGTCCTGGATCCTCTCATAGTCGTATCTAGTGTCGCTATACCGACGCTCAATGGCTGTCCGCAAATCCAACCAGGTTGTTATGTTGTTGGTACGGACAAGCAATCAATACCATTCCGCCGCACTGTCGACCACCAGGCGGTGAAAGATTCGGAAAAGAGGCCTCCCATAATGCTGCCCTAAGTGCTCGACTCGGGATATAAATTCTTCCGCGCTCATCCCATCTGAGTTGCCCGAGAATTGTATCCCCCATTTGTGCACTGGGTCACAGTGTCCTCGTTGAGAATACCCGTAGCCTTCAGGATTCCGCCGAACAGCCCCTTGTCGGCCTTCCGTGCCTCTTGGTTGATTGCTTCCACTGAAAGAGGAACCTGATCGCAAGTGCATACTTTCCTGTTGAATATTCTGATGATAATTCGACAGACCGATTTGCTGACGTTGTCCACTAGGGCCAGGACTTACTTCCGGGTCATTCCTGAATCGGTTTTGTATTATCGGCTGATTTTCAGGTTGACGACTTCCAAAATGACCGCCCGCAGGGAGTCCCTGAGCTCTAGTCGATGTTTCTAACATCCTCGATATAGATGTCTTCCTTTCGACCTGCCTCAACAACTCAGCAAATCCTTGTTTAATATTTTTATCAATCTTGTCGCTGATAAACCGTTCCGTTTCAGCCCGAAACTGGTTCTGGGAATCTACCACAAAGTTCATCACATCGCTAACGTGGCCCTGGCTGTCCGCTCCCTCGGCTCTACTGTTCTTGGATCGGATCTCGCTGGATGTTTGAAAAAGTCGGTATTGGAGTGGAGTTGTCGCTAAGCTCCAGTCTTTTTGGGTTTCCAACCCGGTTTAGAGCGTGAAACGGCGTTGATTGCAGTGGAGGACAAGTGACTGGTCCTGCGTTCCCTAAAGGGATCGAAAGGTTGCCGCCATCTTCCATATTATTTCCATTCTTACCCATAACCGATACTCTATTTCCCTTATGGACTGTCCTGGACCTAGAAACATAACTAAATTTGACGTTTGACACAAAAGAATGACAAAGTCGACTCTTTCCAACTTCGACTCAGTCGATGACTTTGATAATTTAAATGCAAAGCCTCGCCCAGAAGGAGTAACAAGTGATAAATAATAAATTAATATAAATATGAAAAAAAACGTACTTCAATAAATAACTTGATTTAAATAAGTGATGTAAATAAATAAATAAATACGTAAGTACAGTGTAATAAGCTTAAAGAATAATAAAAATCCTGTCCCCAATAAATATTATACTGAAATATATAAATAATCAAATAAGTAAATAAATTGGTAAATTAATAGACGACACAACATAAAATATAAAAGAATCGTTCCGCGCTAAGCCGCCGATCTCTTCCAGCTCCGGTTGGTGACGTAACTTCACCACGTGCTATTACGCTGGATCAAGTCAATCCGCCGAATCCTAGACAGGATTACGCCTCTTCCTGGAGTCAATTCTCTAAGCGCGAGTATTATTTCTGGCAGGTACTACGGGTATATCTAAGTGGCAGTCGGCTGGAGGTGCCGGATCCGCCGATTGCGTAACCTTCCTAAAAATGCGGGATTACTCCAAAAAGCTTGGACAGGCCCTAACTAGCGGAACCTGGCCACTATCTTCCTCGTCTCGTCTCGGCTGACCTGAAATGGGATTCCTAATTGGCCTTTTCGTTCCCCCCACTAACACGGAACGCAGTCACCACAGGGCCTTGGCCAGTCCGGCTTCGGAGACCGTTCTTTGGCGTCGGCGACCAGAGAAAACTTTCAACTAGCGGGATCACTCCTTTTTAATTAATGGCACTGCGTTTGAAATTTAGATCACAAATGTCTTGGCGCTGATGGCCATTTCAATTTCTATTGAACCCGCTGCGACTGCGCGCCGCCGACACCAAATCTGAACTGATCTAGTGTCGGCCATTTGCCTTCAGCCAACCCATGCCGATTACGGGCCTCTTTTCCCTGCGTTGTGGGTCAATGTCCTCTTTAACCTACATTCGTCCGGTTTGAATTTAAATTCGTCCCCTACCGATTCCAATTTTTGCGTTGCCCATCACTGGACTCTAACCGATTGCTCGATTATTGAGGTATAGCGACATAACAACGCTGGTATCTAAGATAGAGGGTTAGTTTTCAAGATTTAAGCCTAGTACTCACATCGACGAAAACCGCGAGCTAATCATAGGAGTGAGCGAGAGGCAAATACGTGGCTAACGCTTTTCGTCGGGTCTGTTTTTCAGCACGGTACTCAGATGAGTTAACGAAATACCAGAAAAATACCAGATTTAGCGAGTGAACTTCGATGATCCAAAGAATAAGAAACTTAATTTTTGGCGGTGTTCGTGCAAAAGCGGTGTGGAACTTAAAAGTTCAAAATGGAAATAAAACCCCAAAATTTCCTAAAAGAGGTCAGTGTAGGTGAGAACTGACGCCTAATCCAAGATGTTGCCCATTATTGTAGGATTTCACAGACAGGAAGCAATACCACGACAGGGCAAATCCGCAAAATAGTTGAAGTGCTGGAGGAAATCCACTAGAGAATCCCAGTGGGAAGGAACATGCCGATTGGGACTTCGCTCGATCTCCGACGAGCTTTCCATTGAGGAAAGACCGGACTCCACCTCCACAAGCTACTTGGCAGCTAAAGCGGAGATAAGAGACGCGTCGGTTTCTATAGGGAGGAGGAGCTGGTGTAGCTAGAGACAGCCATTACCAGGATGCTGGGCGACATCATACAGCTTCAGGCGGAACAACCCCGTTCCCAATCCGGCTCCCACTTCCTGAAGTTCCAACATGCCCGTTGGGATTCGGAGCTATATTGAAACACATCTAGAAGGCACCGCGATAAACTGCACCTAGCACGCACATTTGTTGTGGAAAATGTGCATGAAGACCCAGAAGTATTTGTTTCAGAATGCGTTCCCAAATTTCCGTTTCCCGTTTCCCAGATGGCACCGCAATAGAATGCAAGTAGCACGCAAAGTTGCCCTGCAAAATTAGCATGCGTTGTCATGCGTAAAAAAGATACGACCTAGAACTATTTTTTTTTTTTATACGTTCCCGAGCTCACGACTGGGCAGTGTTGAAAAGCACTAGAAGGCAATAAAAGGACCGACAATTTATGCACGTCACAGCGCTATAAATCTTTATGTTTTACCATTAGTCTACGACCAACTCTCGTGTGTCGAAACCCGTGTGCCTAATGTGAATTTTTTCGAAAGTTCGAAGCGTATTTTAATTTTATTAAGATGACTTATTTCGTATCAATTTCAATTTTTCTTATATTGTATCTTATATAGTCGTAGCGTTCTCTCTTGTTTTTTTATGTTTTTAATCCTCGGAATCCTCTTCTTTTAAAATAAATTTGTTTTTAAGGTAAAACAAACTGTATTTAAACAAATATGTTTAAGTCTTGCCCCACAAACATTTTTTTAAAATTTAAATGTATGCGACAGATTTGATTGTTTTTTTTTAAGTCCGAGCCATTTATTATTTTAAAGATATTGAATTGTTTCTAACTAGACCTTTGATTTTTTAGGGCTTCTAACTCACTCTTGTTAGCGCATGTACATCTTATGGGAAATCTGAATCGGAATTTGGTCGCTGATGCAGAGACACCATTGTCTGAACAGACAATTGGTAAGCCATTTAAATTTGATGGACCTGGACGTCCTTTCAACAGTTAGACAATGGTCAACGGTGCACACCTAAACATCGATGTTTTGAAAAAAATAAATTTTTTTTGCTTCTAAATAAATTAGTTAAATAGTGTAGCGCAACTAAAAGTCTCTTATGGTTCACAATAAAACAAAAGAACAAAGGCTTTATACAGCAACCAAGTTTAAAAAAAACCATCAGTATTCTAAGAGATCATATTCATATTATATATAGCTAAATTACGAAATTTTCATGGAAAATGTGAAAATATATTAATACAGTAATAACTTAATTTATAAACACATATTTTACATATATTCCGCACCGTTTCCCTAAGAAGGGTGATGTGACAAAAACATCGATTATCGGAAAAAACAAAAATCAAAATCGATGTTTCTAGAAAATTTTAAAACCTCCATGCATCGATGTATCCATCGATGTTTCTCCACCTCTATTAAACCGGGACTATTGTTGGCCAACGGTGATGCCATGATATTTTCACAAGTAGAAACCGTTTGAACGCTTTTCAGTATTTATAACATCTTCCTCGCATTCTGCTCTTGTCTATATCCATGTTTTAAGCACAAATTTTGGAAGGTTAATGATCCTTCAAATGTCCTTTTCTTCAGATAAATAATTTACGTTTCGGTGAAACAATTGCCAGGTCTTGCCAAGAAGAACATAAGCGAGAGCTTGGACATGTCCTTAAAATATACATAGCATTATACTTGTTAAGATGAGATCAAATACTGAGTTCAAAGACGTTATAATGCTCATCGGTACTGTACTAACAGTATCCTTATAAAGGCGCCATTGCAGTCCATATGCAAATCCTTCTCAAATGAATCCGGACATGACAAGTGCAAAAATCTCCTTAACGTAAATAATAGTGACAAAGCAGTCTCCATCCCTTTTTAGCACGTGTATTCATTATTGAAAAAAAGTCGTTGAAGCGGAATTGGGTCCTGGAAGCGGAAACCCGCTCCGTGTGAAAAGGCTATTACTCTTTTGGACTCGGCGTTTGAGTTTTATCATATGTCCCAACTATCTGGTTGAGTGGGACTTCTATGTTATGGTCCTTGATTTTATGTACCTATTTATTAATTCCAAATCCAGCGAAAGCATACGTTAATCAGCTTCCGCTGGTTCGGTATTGTTTACACCGGTGAAGAGGTCTAAAAAGTTAACATATAATAATGTCGCTTATAGAAAGTATTCCGATAAATACATACCGAAATTATTTAAATATTCTGAATGATTCTTCTACAAAAGAGGAACTGAAGCTAAAAGCTACACAAGAACTGAGTGAAAATTTTGAAATGATATTGCAAAGTCCAGCATATCCGTCTTTCTTAGATAACTCATTAAAAATATTCATGCGTATACTTCAGGATGGCGAGCCTCAGTTTGTTCAAGAAAATACAATGCAACACGTAAGATTTATAATAAAGATTTGAATAAGTTAAGAACTCAAACTAAAAGCATAACATATGAACAGTGATCTTAATTATTGTACTGTTACGTGTTGAGATTTATGTAAATTCCTTTAGTATGTATACAAAATTTAAAAAGAAATTAAATTAACTATGTCGTTAAAACTTAATAGATTTGGTTGGCTAAATTATAATTGGCCCTATACTTCTAATGGACTTCTGCTTGACTTGTATCCTAAAATCGTTTTTAAACTTAAATATAAGCCAGTGGTCGCAGAGTCCTATTAAGCAAAGATAGGGAACAGCTCTGCTCAGCCTCTGCCAGCACTTGTACATCGTAGGACAGCATTTCTTACGCATCATCAAAAGGGCCCAACACTTTTATTTTTACAATTAAGAAAGAATCATAATAAAAAAAAAGGAAGCGTTTATTGTGGAAAATAAAACTATTAAATTAATCATTATTTCTAGAGCTGAAATAAAACTCAACACATGATCATTATTCTTGAAATTAATATAAAGCAACGATTAATTTTGGAGTAATGAATAAAACTCAGAAAATATTCATTTTAAAATAATATATTTAATTAAAATTTATAATCTTTGCAGTCCCTTGTTACAGACTATATTAAATGATCAATATCACATTATTTATTTGTAATATAAAATACCATTTGCTTAACACATTTCCATGGATCGAAAATAAGAGAGGTTTGAGTCTTTTATTTAAGTCGTCAGGAATTTGTTGGGGAGTGTAGGGTAAAGTGACGAACTCGTCAAATCTTACATGTGACGTCACGTCAATAACGTCAAATAACACCAGTTTCCAAAAAAAATCCACAAAATGCGCCTTGAAGGCGAACTTGGTTTTCCGGTAAGGTACATCTCCCTGATTAAGAAAAGGGCACTTAAATTTTTTTCAATGGTACCAATTTTTTTAAATTGTAAAAAACGTTTTTTGCACTTTTTTATTTTCTAACTCGAGTTCTGATTAACAGAATTCGGTCATCAAAGTCTCCTTTTACAGGTAACAGAATGTACTTTAGCTTTATTATACACAGCATTGACTTTTATTCATAAGTTTAGAAGCTACACTTCGTCAAAGTTGAAAAAGTTGGAATGCCTGGCATAAATTACTTATACACGCCTAAAAACCGAAATTAGTTTTATGTAGTTTTCTTGAAGGCTGAACTTTAACGGAGAATATGAGCCATTGATCACGACAAGCCGTTGGTAAATCGATTTTTTACAGATTTTTAAACGTATATACCCAAGTTCAGCGATTCTGTGAATCACAACATTCTCTGTACAAAACTAAAAAATATGTTATGCACTGTATTCAGCTTAATTGGGTTGTATCTGGCCAATAGACACCAAGCAGTTTCTGCGGGTAATAATATTTTCAATTGCAGGCATATTTTAAGAGTAATCCCACAATAATCATCTATGTAAATTATTTACCTGGTGTCCTGTCCGAATGTGCTGTTGACGCTGATGAATTACAAATCTATGTTATTGATCCAGTTAAAGAAATAGATGTGTGTGTTGGTAAAACGAATTTAATGCTGTCTTTGATTGAGAAATGGGAAAATGAAAACAGCTGGAGATAAACCCCGAAAAATCAAAATGTTCAGTAATCGGCAAAAGACCCATTTTTCTTCTACTCTTCACAAACTATTTATAAACAATAGATCTATTGAGTATGTAGGACACGCAGTGGATTTGTTGATAACCTTCAGCAACACATTGACTTGGGGCAATCACATAGGCAAATCAACCGGCAAAGTATATTTGATCATGTGGCGTACGTGACTAAACAATTTTCTCAGAGAGGCAGTTTTACGTCAATGATATTCGATTATGGAATAGTCTAAGACATATGACATTACCTCAAAACAATGAGGATCGCAACACTTTGTTAAAGCAAACTAAAATAAATTTTTAAAATATTACCCTCCCTTTAGTTCTGCAGTTGTGCCTCCGTTATGTTCAGCTAGCGACTAGCATTCCGGAGGAAAAATTTTCGTGGAGCAGCGATATGGGAATGCCCTAAAATTTTAGGAGCATTATTGTATTTAAAAGAAACGTGTAAACTTGTTTTATAAAAATACATTTTTTGATCGTAGTAAAATTAAGTTGATTAAAATGATTTTATGATGCGCATTAGTTAAAATGTTAAAACAATAGATTTAAGCGTTATGGGCGTTAGAGTGGGCAAATTTTTTTTTTGGATCAATCGATAGGTATTGCCGAGACCAATACTTTTCAATTACAATTTTTTATCTATTGTGGGCGCCACAGGTTTGGGCGGTTTGTGGGCGTTAGAGTGGGCGTGGCAAACTTTTTTTTGGTCAATCGATAGGTATTGAGAACAATACACTTCAGTTAAAATTAGGAGCCACAGTTTTGGGCGGTTTGTGGGCGTAAGAGTGGGCGTGGCACATTGCTGAAACAAACTTGCGCTGCGTAAGAAGCTCAGGAATCTGCACGCCAAATCTCAATAGCCTAGCTCTTATAGTTTCCGAGATCTCAGCGTTCATCTGGACAGACGGACATGGCTAGATCGACTCGGCTAGTGATCCTGACCAAGAATATATATACTTTATGGGGTCGGAAACGCTTTCTTCTGCCTGTTACATACTTTCCGACGAATCTAGTAAACCCTTTTACTCTACGAGTAACGGGTATAATAATAGGAAACGAACCGCTTTCAGGAATAATGATTATTTTTGATTTTTATTACAGAACTTAAAAATAATGATTGTATTTGAGGAATATAGTTAAAATCACAAATTTTAAAATCGTGATGAAAATGGATAGGGAAACCACGGACAATCACTATTTTGCGTGTGTCGATCCCAACTGGGTGATTTTTTGATTCAAAATACAGATTAATAATCATTATTTAAAGTCCCTGCTAAAAAGTAAATAAAAATGTATGTATTTAAAATTTTTCATATTCATATTCTGAATTTCACAAGTGATTTCGCGTGGGACGTGAAATCCCCTTTAAGGGATTTTTATTGGCACAAAAAATTTCATCGTCCACTTTCGGCTAACGGAACCCATAAAACACCTTTAAAATATAAGTAGTTTAAACGAAGATCAATGCACATCTTAAACTTAATGTAACACTTACCTGTCTCTTTTATTGTCAAAAATATCACTTAATAACAAAATAAATGTGTTTCGCTGCGCACAATTCAAATAGCCTGCTTTTCTTTTAATAACTCAAACAGAATGCACCAAGTCTTCTCACCCCCTAATTGATTTATTTTGTTTTCTCTTCGCTGTTGGCGCGTGTCATTGCACCTATACCCTTTCTAAAGAAAAAAATATCCGACTGTATAATTTTTACTCCTTGAGTAAAAAACACAATATTAATTTTATAAAAATGTTAATACTAAAATGTTTTTAAAAAAATGTTCTACATCTAAACTTAAAATTATGTTGTAATAACAATGTATACATATCTATTCACAACATTATAGGTAAATTCAATTAACTTATGTTTACTACGATCGAAAAATGTGCTTTTATATAACAATATTTGTTTGTGCCTAACCGATGTAGACACTCGCAAGCCGATCGCGTCGCGGCAATGGTAACGATGGTTACTGCGATGCCGGACCACAGGCGATGCTGAGCTGCACTGAGGTTAAGCTAACATGGTTAGCTGCTAGTTGAGATAGTGTATTACGAGCCCTATTCCCAGAGGTAGGAAGTAGAACTGCGGAGTTATGCGGTGCGTTGATAACCGGTTTGTTCTTCATTTGATACATGCTTATATACTACTTGGAACAGGGAAGTTTAGTTTAATGATTAGTGAAATAAGCTATATTCTAAAGTAGGTCAGGGAATTATGATTATGGTAGCAGTTTGCGTAGTTGGCCGACACTGCAAATGTGCTGACTGCATTGGCGGGTCAGTGTGCAGTTGCGTTGGTGAGTAAGTGAGACATATAATATGCTGATCAGCAATTCTCATCTGCAGTGGGTGCTACTGAGCGCCTGGTACTGTTCCCAACTTGGCTACTGCTTGAACAATATTATTCTTTATTCTTTTAAAATACAGTAATGGTCCTAAAATATTAGGGCATTCACATGTCGCTGTCACGAAAATTTTTCCGCCGACATGTTAGTCGCTAGATGAACATAACGGAGGGACGCAAAAAAATACGAATATCGGACCGGCCGAAATTTTTATCCGCGAGCGCGGAGTGCAGTCAAATTATAACACAAAGAAAGAGAGGAAAATCTCAGAATATCTGCCCCTCCTTGTTGCCCGGCCGCTTTTGACGGCAGTCTTCTACGCTGCACCGCCTTCTCTGCTGACGTCGACAGCGGCACAGAGTTTCAGGCACAAAAAAACAAAACCGTTTTTTGTCGTCTGACATGTCAGCAAAGGGCAGTGCGAGCGAGCAAGATGTAGACATCTGGAGAAAACTACCGCTCGACACTACCTCCAGAAATTAAACGCCCCTTTGGCGTCAACATTCTCCCCACCTTGCGAGGACACCTGAAGCAAGAACCTCAGAGTAGTAGGCTTAGGAGCAAGATGGAAACGAAAATCGGTCATGGCCCTTTCCACACATGTGGCAGTGATGACCACTGCGGAAGGAGTCCTTGGAATGATAATGAGTCAAGCAGTTGGAGTAGTTTTTGTGGAAATGTACTTCCTGGAGCCGTTTCTGGGCGCTAAGCCTCACAAAGTGGTGGCACTTCCGTAGAGGATGGATCTCTTGGCCGACTCGGCATTGGTAGGATTTAATACGTCGAGTACGTCTGCCATCCAAGGCGGGCTATAGAACCCAATATTCGGATGGAGCATTCTTAGGAGGGAATTTTTGTACATGAACTTGTGCTAAATAGGACAAAATTGTGTGTGGAATTGAGGTGGATACTGGACTTGGAGGGTCGGATGGAATCGACGGATTAGTAGGACCACAGCAATATATTATGCCGATCTTGACAAATGGAAACAGTTGTGATCGCTTGTGC